AGTTTCAAGATCTGGAGTTCGTATTCACTGATCAAATTCTGAATATTTAGCTAACATGATTTGTAGTATTCCTGGTTAATGAATTCATCATACCATTCTTCATAACCACATTAATTTTTGTCCTACCAATGGGATAATAACACAAGACTATTAATTAACATGTTATATAAAACTATTAACAAACATTTTTTCCAAAAATAATAACTTACAACTTGTTTACACATCCAACGTCTGTGCCCCAAATTGCAATTTGACCAACATGGTTTCAAAATCACTTGTTTGCCACAGTAACACCTTGGTATGTCATTGCGTCAAGACATGTCTTAATGCTCGAAAATGAAAAATTAGTGGAAAGTTGTTCTATTCGTTTTAGTACAACGCAAATAATAACTGAAATGCGCTAGCTTTTTATAGGCAGCTAGGAGTGATTTTAGGTTACATAACGCATATTGGTGAAGTACTAAGTATCGCGTGCTAATGATTCTTTAGGGTACAAGTGGGTGTAGTTTTTTAGATCGACAACTTTTTTAGGTCGACATGACAATACACATAACGCATATTGGTGACGCGCTATGTTTCGCGTGATAATAATTCTTTAGGTTACAAGTGGATGCAGCTTTTCAGGTCGATAACTTTTTTAAGTCGACATGACAATACACATAACGCATATTGGTGGCGCACTATATTTCGCGTGATAATGATTTTTTAGGGTACAAATGGGTCCAGATTTTCAGATCTACAACATTTTCAGGTCGACATGACAATACATATAGTGCATATTGGTGATGTGCTACGTTTAATATACAAGTTAGTGCAGTTTAGTTCTTCTTAAGTTGAACCAAGAGATCAGTATTCAAAGACCATTTGAAGAACCATTACAACATCAATTTCAGAAATGCCACAAACATTTAATAAATAGTTTAAGAAGAGGCAAAAAGGTGAAGGTAGTTCAACAGATCCACATGGAAAATGTCACAACATAATTGATCCTACCTTGAAAAAAATATGCTAGGTTGCTATACTGATTTGGTTGATGACAAGTGGTATGGTGTTCTACGTCCCTTGGAAAATAAGCCTATCAATATACACACTGATCTCAAAGTTGCAAGGCACATTATTGAGGGCGAAGCGCATTCTACAAAGCCTGAAGGTATGCGAATTTGGGGCGAAAAACTACAATGGGTTCCCCTTTACTTAAAACGATGTGATTATAAAGTACTATGTCACTAGCATGGGCTTGTTTTACCACAAGCACTGTCCGCAACCTTCCAAACAAACACACACAAAAATGAATAGAAGTGATGCGACATTTGATGAAGGAGATTCTAGAGATAGAAAAGGCACTAACCGTTCATCATGCACTGGATGATCTTAACTACCAGGAAGGAACGGAGGATCAGTATTGGGATTTATTAGAAAATAAAAAATTGCATAGAAATAATGATTATCCTGTTTTCCCAACACTTGTCGAGTGGGAGGGACTAGCTAAGTTTCTACCACAGACGTTGGACGTAGGAGTCCCATATTATTGTAGAAATCAAGCAAGTAGTCTTATTGATGATAGCGATGAAATATGCCAAATGTGTGTCAATTGGGGCCTAGATTACGATGCCCTCAGTCCGGAAGGGTGCGTACAAGATGTTGACGAAGAAGATGAAGACAGTGACCATGAAATAGTGCCAAACAATGACGATAATAGAGAATGAAAATTGTTATTTATTTCTTGGGGTGTATGTTAAATTGTTGTTTAATCTTTAATGCTAAATATCAATTAGATTTAACCCCATCGAAAACATAATTTTATTTCAGAAATTTTACAAGCTGAACATTTACAGACATTTAGTACAACAAAAATACTTCAATAAAACACTATGTTTATCCTTGACAATTGGGCACATTGGATGAAATGTCACCTGGAGTTGAATTACCACCGCTTCCCAAATCAGCTGAAGGACATTTACGACGGTCGTGTCCTGTTTGGGAATATATGCCATATTTACATGCATAAACGGTATCACTAACATCCATTTAGTTCCACATCCGCGTTCTTTTTTGCTCTTGACCTTGATGCACATAATCCTTATTACACACCATTTTAAATGGTTCCGGCGGCCAATAATACTTAGCACCCACTGCGACAACTATCCACTATAGGTGTTTAAGTATGCATCAACACTATAATCTTTATCAACGTACCTCGTTGCCGCGAAACCTATATGTTGAAAGCACTTCATGGCATGTGAGCATGGCAAGTGATATATTGACCATTTTCCACATGAGCATAATCTTCTGGATTCATTGACAGTATATGTATTATTCTCGCAGTTGTTACGCATATCAGTGCAAACTTCAAATTATTTCGCTCGCTGTGATACCGCAAAAATGAATGCCACTATGCTCGCTTCCTATATTTCTCAAATCATTTCATTGGTTGTGGCATAAATTCAACACTCATTTCCATCAATGACGATGCACCTCTAGATCTTTCAACAAACCTCTCCGCCATCTGCTTGAATGACATATGTACCATGGCAGTGACAGGCAATCCACATACACACTTCAATAACCCTTTGAAAGACTCTGACATATTTATAGTCAAAATTTCACATCTTCTACCACTATCCTTATGCCAAGTCCACTTTTCAAGCTCATGCCGCATCAACCAATGATAAGCTTCTGGGTCTTCCTGCCTAATCAATTCCATTCGCCTCCTGAATTTACACTCTTGGTGATCTGTTGCAGCCATTCATATTCAATCATGTAATTCCTTGCTCGGATAAGCCCTCTAGAAGTTAGCCTTCAAATGCCTAAAACAATAACAGTGGTAGACATACGGTTCCTACCATGCTCGCAAATTCTATACATAACTTAAAATACCTCCATGTCGATCAGATATTAGACAAATACTTGAACGTTGTTTGACAATGTGCTCCTTTAAGTGGTTCAAAAATAATGTCCACGTCTCTTGACTTTCATTGGCATAAATTGCAAATGCTAGGGGAAATATACCTCCATTAGCATCTGCTGCAACGACGATCAACAACTTAATATCAACTTAATGTTTATGGATATTACCGGCCGATAATGTACAAAACTATCAATGGCTAGTTTAAATGCCCAGAACACTTATCTGAATATGTATTCTGGTATTCCCAGACTCTGCTCAAGCTTCCATTTAACAACAGTCTCAGGATTAAGTATTGCAATGCAACCATGTATCTGGGTTGAGCGGCAAAGGACTTATCCCAGTTACCATAAACAATTTCAAACGCACATTTATGCCCGAGAAATGTCTTTCTTTCGGTAATGATACATCCATATACCCGGTGGACATATGTTATATACTCTTTGATCTTATACCTTATGGACACTTCAATGTGTGGAATCAAGATAAGAAAATTCAAGTCAACATTTAAGTTAAAATGATTCCCATTGAATGTGTCCATTTCACAAGTGTGGGTGCCAATGTATTTCTCCATAATCCACATATTTATTTTTAACTTTCTCGCACGCAGCATCCAACTACAATCTTGAAACCATCTATGACAAATAACCTTGTATACTTCCGGAGATGACTCATGAACCATGATCTCACAACACTCGTTTATGCTGTACATTCGCACCGCCCTACTTAGCCGCGCTTTATCAACAAAAAGCATGCCCTTTGACAGCACCGTTGCTCTAGATTCATCCCACATTGTTGTTCGAATTTTGTCAAGATCCCTTGTGATGACATACACATTCGGCCTACTTGGCAACTGATCAAGGTAGGGAGTCTCCCTTCAATGAAACGGCACATGGGACTCGTACATTCTTGGTCTAATGGGAGGTGGAGCATGCTCCCTCGTCAAATCAGGTTCATCATTCTCGTCCTCCTCATCATCACCCTCATTAGGGAAGGGCGTGTCATCTCTAGAGTCATCAGCATTGTTGTCATAATCACTATCATCTTCCTGACTCTATGCATCTGTAAGATCCCAATTAAATATGTCATCTTCGGGCAATTGAGTAAGGACAAGACCTCCAAATTGCTCGTTTTCACTGCACAACCAATAAAATAATGAGTTTCTCAAAGTCATCCGAACGTTACATATAAACTTTGTCACTTAAAAATCTGTCAGAGTTTCATCGTCTTCGTTATTAAACTCAGCATAACAAGCAACCTCTTGCGGAGTAACAAAATATGAATATCTTCCGGTTACTTTAATATTAACCGAACGTTTGCTTACACTCATTTTATTACATAACAACGATATCAATCTATCGTACTCCATTGTAAGTGGTAGTTTAACATGACACTGGGGAGAACAACTATAGCGTACTGAGTTATTCTTCACTACAACCTCACCCTCCCAATATAATAAAACCCTAATTTTTTGCTCTTCAGACATTATGACAAAATGCAAAATAACTTAACGAACAAATATTTCGGAAGACCTGAAGGATCCTAAATGGAGTTTTACCAAATTCTAAAACTCCTTAAATAAGAAAAAACCAATCCGGGGTACAATAATTGAGGTATAGCGCATGTATAATTGGCGCTATATATGTAGCACATATACTGCATGTGCTATACCCTGAATTATTGGTGGGTCAGTAAAGTTTAGATAAATTATTGGTGGGGCATCAAAGTTCAAATATAGCGCGATTGTTCACCATGCTATACTTTATTGGACAAATGTGCGATTAAGGTATAATGCGGTGAATAATTACGCTATATATAAAATGGTAGTAAGTAGTTTTTTCCACCTATTTTGTATTGGAGTCCAAAAAAGACCACAGTTAGGTTTTGGGTTCCCTAAAACATGTAATTCAAACTGAAGGGACCCATCAATATACTCTTTTGACCAATTTCGCTAACCTTGGTTTTAAAATTCCCATCTTGGACCTAAAGTGTCGTATTTTGTAAATTTAAAGGATATTATTTGTTCAGTAGTCATATAAAAGGACGAATAAATCAATCCTTCGACTTAATTGGTCATGAGTGACTAATCCCTTTAAAATTTAATGAATAGTCCAAGGTCTCAGTGTTCCGCTAAGCGAAAAGTGCTGAACTCCATTTTGCAACTCCTCTCGACGCTTCCTTTGAACCTAACCTCAAAATGGCCAAAGAGCGAACAGAAACGCCGGAAGATGAACACGGAGCTCCATCTAAACGACACCGTCACAAATCAAAATCCAAAACGGAGTACGAATCCGAATCTGAACCCGAACCAGAACCAAAACGAGAAGCGAAAAAGCACAAGAGAAGTCGAAGTCGAAGTTTGAGGAGAAGATCACGGGACGATTCGTCGGATTCGGATTCTTCATCTTCCGGAGAAGATTCGTATTCGGACTCGGAAGACTCGTATTTAGATTCAGATACGGAGTCGGGTAGTTCGGAGTATTCGGATGAGTCGGAGGATGAGAGGAGGCGAAGAAAGAGGAGAGAGAGGAAAAGAAGAGAGGAAAAAGAGAAGGAGAAGAAACGAAAGCTGAGGAAAGAGAAGGAGAAGAAGAGGAAAAGGAAGGAGAAAGAGAAGAAGGAGAGAAAGAAGAAGAAGAAAGAGAAGGGGAAAGTTGGTGCTGTTACGAACTCTTGGGGCAAATATGGAATTATCAAGGAAACTGATATGTGGTAAGTTGTTTTTCTCCTTTCCTTGCTTCTTCTTAATTTAAGTGTTACTTTTTAGGAGCACACTAGTGTTTTTTAAGTCAATTTTTTGGATAATATTTCCTGGAAAATGTTTTCTAATGTTTGACTGCTGAGTGAAAAGTCTTCAGATCGAAAATAAACAATGTTAGAAGATAGGAAAGCGTTTTAGTGAAATTTCTGAGTGTTGTGGATTGATAATGTCAAAGCAACACAATCACTTATTGTCCAGAAAGCATTTTCCAAAAGATATTTCTGTAACACACCTAAGTACTCAATTGTGTATCCAAACAAGCTGTAACAGCTTGTTTGGATGGTTGTTACGCATTGTATTGTATCGTATTGTTACTTTAAATACAATGTTTGTTTTGATTGTTACTTAAATTTTATTGTATCGTATCGTTAAATCCGTCGTTACATAACGACGAAATGTGCCACTTTATATAACGACCGATTTGGTGTGGTCGCGTCGTTACCTTGTCTTTTTTCTCTCAATATCGCCCTTTATTATTATTAAATTATTTTATTTTATCATTTACCCTATCTTTTTATATAGTAATTTTACCTTGCATCATAATTTTTCTTTATAATATTGCAAGTTTATTCTTCATAATACTGGTGCGTGATATAATGAAACGATGACAAACGACACAATCTATCCAAACATTGTATTTATTAAATGATACAGTACAATACAATACAGTACGATACGATACATTATGAAACGATGCGTAACAACCATCCAAACAAGCTGTAACTCTCACCAGAAATTCCCTGTCCTTTGTCTCCTGATCCTAAAATTAGGCATTTGGATTTGATCCATCCTTGAGCAACCTCTAGCATTCCTTGGAAGGTCTTTCCAGTTATAGAAAATAACAGCATCTCCATTTTGCATGTTACTCACCGCTTTAGCAAGAACATCTGCTAAGAGTTTGCTTCTCTGTGCAATGTTGGATTTTGTATTGGTGAATTTGCACACTATCCTTAATCTCCTCCACCCATTGAGACAATTCCCAAGGAATTCCATTCTTGTTAGTTAGCATATTTACCACCAGCAGTGAGTCTAACTCCAAAATGATGTTACAATATCCCTGTTGATTGCACCAGTTAACCGCAAATAAAGCAGCCTGAATCTCTGATTGCACCTGCAGTTTGCATAGAACATAAACTCTTAGGGTAGAGCAGCTTGTCCCTATTTGTTTGAGCACCAACATATAAAAAAATAAAACAAACAATTAGTTTGCTTTAGTCATTGTCCTTAAAGTGAAGAAGGTCATCTTTATTGAAGAAATTTATATGCCCATAACTATTGGTTGATTCAAGCTTAGAATGAGGCCGGTGGATTTCTTGTAAGTATGAAGTTTGCCAGGTCTGATCACCTTTTTATCACCTTTGAGCTTTAGGTTTGGGCAGGAATAAGTGTGAGATTTAGAACCATCAATTTTAGATAACTCCTAATTTACCTTAAAGACAAATTAGTTACTAATCCCTCTATCCAATTTATGTGCCATACTTTTGTTTAGTCCGTCCCAAACAGAATGTCATACTTTCTTATTTAGAAATAATTCAGGCCAAATACATAGATAGCCCCTCAAACGTGGCGCAAAATTTCATTTGGACATCTCTAGTTCAGCTATGACCACTTTGAACACTTGTACTTGTCAAATATGTGTCTGGTGGACACAAGAGTTAACAAATCCAAATGCGTGTAATACAAACGCCGATGACATGGCAATCAGACAAATAAGAAGCTGACATGTCATTAAAAGGAGAAGAATAAAAAAACACCTTGGCAAGAAGGTACATGTTGACTTCTTGGTCTTTTCTCCTTCAACTCTCTGCAGCAACGCCCCTTTTCTTCCTTTATTTTTCTTGTTTGCTTATCTTCATCAGAAAAAGCCAACTCATGCCTCCCATTGCATGCCGCCACAACCACCCCAAGTATCCAATCTCCATGTCAACGACGAGATTTTGGTCTCTGTTTCAGGAGCTAACTGCAGGGTCTTTGTTTCAGGAGCTAACAGTTGAAACTAAATCAGACATAATGCTTTCAAAACACAGATGGAACTCTAGCTTAGTGTGAGAAAAAAAAAAGAATAGATCTAAAATGCAATGGATGTACAGAAGTACAAAAGGAAAAAGTGGACGAAGGATATAGAACATAGTGCAGGAGTAAATATGGTAAACACGAATCACCTTGATTTCATAGCCTAAAAACATATCTTATGTACTAAGAATATAATTATAAAGTGCAAATAATATATTTGGCCGGGAACTTAGCAGTTAGATACAAGTAAACATGGGAGAGTTTCAACTGACACTTCAAAGTTCTTAAGACGCCAGAGGTAGATTAAGGCTTAAGGTACAGTGAAAAAACATACCCACGAGCATAATAGAGTTAAGCTGGCTTCTTTCAGTGTAATGTTTATTACATTCGTAAACTAATTTTTAGTCTTAAAATTTTGCTTCTAATTTTGTAAGGTACTGAAAATAAGTGAGCCATTTCAATGATATCTCACACGCCTCATTCTGGCTAAAAGCACTAAACTTGCCATGTCAGCATCAAGTGCTCAAAAAATTAAAATAAGATAAGTGTTCAGATGGTCATTACTGAAGTAGAAGTGTCTAAATGAAATTTTGTGCCAAGTTTAAGGGGCTATCTATTTATTTTAATTCAACTTTAAACTTTTAATTTTATTGTTAGTGAGATGATTTATAGCCTAAGTTGTTCGGACTATTCACTTTCGGTGTCGCATCTGTGTCGATTATTTATAGTTATATTGATACTATTTTGCAACGCCGTGTACTACAAGCCTCAGCATACATGTGCGTTGTACGTGCCGAGAAAACTAGTAATATAGATTATATGTCTACTACTACTTACATTGGAATTTAATGTGCTGTATCGTTTTTTGATGTAAGCAGAACATATTGTTATTCTTTTCCTCTTGCAAGTAAATAAAGGCACCAAAGGTGGTGCAAATCATATAAAACTTGTAGTCAGCCAAAGTATTGCCCGACAAAGCTTTGTAGACAAACCAAACTACTAACATTTCGCTTAGTCTGTGTTTTTTTAATTTCACCATAGAGATCTTATTCTTCAGGAAAACAAACAAAGAAGGAAAAAAGGTATTCGTATCTCATCTTTGAAAGTTGCATTATCAGCCTTGATTAGTCATCCATCTGCTGCCCCATGCAACTTATGCTATCGTAGTTACTGCACTCCAACCTCCCGAGTGATCTTATCTCAATTTTAGTTGCTTTTTCTTGTCATTGTTGCCTTTGTTACAGTCCTGTATTCTTTCCAGTCAGTGTTTATAGTAACTCCTTTTGCCCTAATATCATCAGGGCTGAACTAAAGCCCCTGCCCAGACAAAACAGGAAAAAAAGAAAGAAAGAAAAAGGAAAAAACAAAATAACCCAGATCCTCTTAATTCCTCCGTATTTCAGGCAATTGCAGTGTTTATATTAAGTTTATAAATACTTTTACAGGGGTGTAGCCAGAATTAGTCCTTGCTGCCCTACTTAACTTTTGTATGTTTCTTTATTGTAGGAACAAGCGACCAGAGTTTACTGCATGGTTAGCAGAAATAAAGAAGGTACATAGTGACTCTTTAAGCCTATGCATGTTGATCATTCATGCCGGACTTGTTGTAGGATATGTCAATTGTTTCTATAAAAGCTACCATTGCACAATACTTATCTACGTTCTCTTTCTAGACAAGTCTGTATAAGATATTACATCTGGTTGTGGAAGTTTTCATTGCTCGTGTCATTTATAGGTGAATCTGGAGAGCCTGCCAAACTGGGAAGAGAAGCAATTATTCAAGCAGTAAGTAAATCGAGAAGGGAAAAGTTAGTTACTATTAGCGCTTGATCCTGCCTTTTCTATACCTCTTTTTAAGCAATATATGCGAGGAACTTCCACTTTTTGACAGTCAGCTATTGTGCAGATTCATGGAGGATCATAACACCGCAACCTTCCCTTCTAAAAAGTAAGGCTACTGCACTATTTCAATCCAATTTCTTTTTCTTTTTGCTTTTTTCTGGGAGGTGTGAGGCTTCTGTTCTATATTGATTATGAATATCGTATATTGAGTTTGGATGTTTGGGTGTGAAGCTTCTAGTTCCTTCCGGGAAGTTGTGTGTTTGTACACATACACACACAGACAGGTGTACAGATGCTTTATATCCAAGTGTGTCAGCAATTGCAATGCTTTTAATCATCTAACAGTACTTTTGTTATTCTTCATGGTTGCAGATATTATAACCTTGATGCCTATTATAGATGTAAAATGGAAAAGGAAAACAAAAGAGGTATCAAGAAGGTCGTGGATACTGAACGTACTGTCTTCGATGATGAAGAACAGCGCAGGTAAGTTAGTTATGTGCTGCTTAACATTCATTGTCATGAACTGCTGTTTTTTCTGTTGTAAGTTTATTTATTTTTCTTTATCTTCTTTGCTCTCTTTTGTAAGTTGGCATTTATTTGCTGATGTTGGAAGTCCTGCTTCGTTGAATCATCTGGAACCAACTTTCATGATTCCAATTCATGTTACTTACTGGCCAGAGTCTCTGTCACCCTTTTAATAAAAGCGGTCATTTTTTGGTTGACTAGTATGAAGTCAATTGGGGCACGTCACGAATTTGAATCCCGTAAGAGAACCAAATCTGGTATTTAAATGGAGAAGGATAGAGGGGTGTGCCCATTATTCATTGAGTTCTGATAATAAAACAACATTTTATAGAAAAAAGAAAACTATGAAGTCATTTGGGAGTTAACAAGAAACCTTCCATTGTTCTAATGTGGTCTTGCTCTTTGAAACTCTTTGAACAGAATCACTATCCTTCTGTAGTGGTATAGCTTATAGCTTTGCGCCATTACCATAGTTTAATCTTTCAAAAGTGGGACCATATTATAATGCCAAAAGATGGTGGTATTATTCTAGCATCCTGGAAGCCACAATCCTAGGTTAGCAAGTACCATATAGTTAAACATACTAGAGTATTGTTTACTGAAGATAAGTTATAGAGCATGGCTTTTGTCATTGAAAGGGAAAAAAGAAGGAAAGTTTCATCTTTGCACGCAATTGTATAGTCTTAATTCTTGATTTGTTACCTATTATGATTCTGTAGGCAAGAATTGCTGCGAGAACGTGAAAAGCACAAGGAAGAACAGGTGGAAGCATTGAAGCGGGAGATGCAGAGTGGAATGGTATATTTTCTGCTAACTTTGTCCTTCTCCATACAACAAGTGAGAGTTCATGATATGACAATTCCTTTTTTTTTCTTCTGTAAATTTGAATCTTTGAAGGCACAAGCAATGAAAGAACAAGCTCAATTAAAAGAAGAGATGGCTTATCAATACAAGCTTGGCAACTTTGAGGTGAGAATAATCCTTCCATTTCATGAGACTCTAATTGATCATACACTACTCTTTTTCCAGTCATTCATCGTATTTTCTGTTGTCCTGATAGGCTGCAGCTGCTATCCAAAGACGTTTGGACCCAGATCTTCCTATGTAGATGAGGTCCTGCAAAATTTTGTTCTAGGCTAATTATTCTGCTCTCTTCATTTTGTTTGAGCAAATATGATTGTAGATTCTTCAGCAAGTCTGTCCTTGTCTTACTAGATACTAGGCTAGTTGAGTTAAAATCTGGTTCATGTACTATTTTGTAACATTATCTGCCGTCCATCCTTTCACTTTGTGCTCCACCATAATGCTGTTAATCTCTAGTGATAATTTACCTTGCATTAAGACTCATCCCCCGCCCCTTGGTCCCTGATCGCCTCGGTTCATGTTTTTTTTTTTCTTGTGCTCACTGCTATTTTTCTTAAACATAGCATAGGTTGGCACTGCACCGCTGTAAACTCTCAGCCGTGTTTTGTGGAAACTGTTATACTATTTCCTTGCTCGTGTCTTTTCTATGAGTTTACAGAAAAATTCTCCCCTCGATGCTATATATGGAAAGAATGTGAAAGGAGCTCAAAACCAATTTCTATTTGAAGAAATCTGGTTTAGTATTTGAACCGTTGCCAATAGTAATGAGATTCAAGAAGTTAGAAAAAATAGAGAACGAAAATGAAAAAGGCACAAAATAAAGGCGAATCTTGTACCAGTAAAGGACAACAAGCCAAAACCCGAACTCAGTATACCCAATGTGCATCAGTATGCTTGGCTCTATTTTATGTTTGTTTTTGTTTTGGTGATAGCTAAAAGTTAAATCCATTCAGAAAGGCAACAGTAAAAGATGCCCTCCGCATGCATCTTTTCTTTTTAGTTTCCCATCCGATGTCGATGCTCCCATTGAGATCCAATTGTCGCATCAGGCTTTATAGGGGAAACACTCTCTATTAGGATTTTTGGGATTTTTACAAGAATAGGTGGTCAGATTTACTATTTTTGGGATTTACTATTTATTTTTTTTAGTCGGTATAATACACATTGGGTGGGCGGCTATTTAGGTTAGTTCTTCATTTTTTGTTTTTATTTTTTTATTTTCAAGGCTTGAACTCGAGGCAGTAGCATACATCTGTTTAAGCTTTCCTGAAATCAGTGCACCCAATATGCATCAGTATGTTATGCTCGTTTTTATTTCTATTAGAGTTCTAGATCATTGATACACTCACGTTTTTCTTTTCATTTTTTTTTTTTTTTTTTTTATTTTTTTTTTTTTTTTTGTTGAGATTCGTAGAGTTTTTGTTTGCTTAAACATGACATTTACATGTGTCTAGATTAATGAACGTTTCCGCAGAAAAAAAGTTGTTTATTAGAAAATGTCTTAGTAACGAAGAATCCTAGAGATATTTTGTTGGGTACATTGGTGGCCACAAGGGCACGTAAATAAGGTTCTGCACAAGATAACAAAGTTCTCAACAATGCAAGATTCCATATTTTCTTTTCCTAAATCTCTATATTATCTCTAGCCCGAAAAAGACACCTCGAATTTTCTGTATATACAAGTAGTTGGACCAAAAACGTATTATACAGACACAATTGAGTACTTACTCACAATGGCACCTGGAATTGAAGAAGAGGGTGTTGAGACACTTTCAATGAATGGCAACAACAAAATGCAAGTCAAAAACTTCATTTGGTCTGAGGAAGAATGGCCTACATTAAAGCATGACGATTTCGGAGATGTAGACGACGATATTCCAGTGATTAGTCTTAACAATGGTATTTGGGAAAATCAAGAATTTTACGAAAATATCTGTCAAGTTTTGGTGAAAGCAAGTGAAAAATGGGGATTTTTTAAGCTTGTGAATCATGGGGTGCCTAATGAAATTGTTGAAAATTATACCACTCGATTGCACGAGCTCTTTGATCTTCCTATGGAACAAAAACTCAAAGGTGGGAAAACATCAAATTTGCCATTGGGTTATTATGCCTCAAATCCTGAGTATGGGCAAAACTTGCCTTGGGCTGAAGTGTTACAACTGCTGGTCACCAGAAATGGTTGTCGAATTCGCGAAAAAGGTCTATGGTGACCAATATCACACATTTAGGTACGTATATATACAACACTTTATCCTATCCAATATTAAATTATGTGACGATCTAATCTAATCTAAATGTATAATATGTTCGAAAAAATACACTTATTATTTATTTTATTATATCTTCAACAAGCCCCTTCATGCACGAGCCTGATTCATTTTGATAGGCCAAACACATTAAATTCTAATATTCTATTTTGATGAAGGGTGGTAGTGAGATTTCAATCCATAGCCAAGGCCTGCTCTATCAATACCGTTTTGTTATGTTAAGTTGTGTGACCATACTTCATATAAGTTTAAATCGTTAGAAAGAGTACAATCTATTTACTTAATCCTATGTGCTGCTCTCGATCGAGCTAATTGGCTCAATATTCAAGATTTATATATGCATGCATGCATGCACTATATATTATTATGCCAAAAATGCTGATTTTGACTTTGATAACATAGCAATGCAATGATAGAGTACATGAAAGAAATGGACAAGCTAGGAATTATTATATTTGGGATGTTGGCACATGGATTAGGCCTTGAAGATGACTTCTTCAGCAAAAACTTTGAAGAAAAAGAAGCTACTTATTTTAGGATAAACAGATATCCTCCTTGTCCCCTCCCAGAGAAAATTGTAGGGATAGGGATTCATTCAGATCCCCAAACATTAACCATATTGCACCAAGATCAAATTGGTGGGCTTCAAATCCTTAAGGATGACAAACAATGGGTTGGTGTTAGACCTCTTGCAAATTCATTTATCATCAATATTGGTGACACCCTTGAGGTCTTCTCTCTTTCCCTCTACGCATTTAATTATGACGCAAAAATTACTTTTCAGGAAAACAAGTTCATAAAAAAAATTATTTTCGAGTGTGCGGTTATCATATTTTTCAAGAAAAATATTTTCTATAAAAAAAAAAAAGGGAAAATGAGGTCCCTCACTAGTTATAGATGGAAGCCATTTTAATCCCTTACGATCATCTTAAATTTTAATTTCGTTCATTTGCTCCAACTAAAATTAGACATTATTACTCATATCGGTTTTTAAATACTCAGAATTTTCTCCAAAGCACTATCTGATTAGCTAATATTATTAATAATTTTAATATATACTTTTTCGAAAAATATTTTAACTCTCCAACTAAATACCAAAAAATTATTTTCCACAAAAAATATTCCCGATAACATTTTTCTTTGAAAAAAGACTTTCGTCACACCAAATAAACACATACATGTTTGTATTTTCGAGTGATTATTAAAGTTTTTTTTTTCTTTCGGGCAGGCTTGGACAAATGTGAGGTTATGTTATACACAGGGCAGTGGTGAATAAGGAGAAGCAGAGGCTATCAATAGCATATTTCATGAGTCCAACAAGCAGTGCAACTATTGAATGCCCTCCTCAGCTTATTGATCCATTTTCAAATCCAAGAAAATATGAATCTTTTACATGGGCTGAACTGAGGCACCTTCTTTTGACTACCAGAAGGGTTAGGGGCAAAGCTGTTGCCCTCAATAAATTCCTTATTTCTAATTGAAAATCGATCCAGAATCTATTTTGTAAGCGAATATACTCTAGACTATAGTATATGAATAAGAGGTCTCGTGAATATGACAGGAAATGGAATTTCGGTTGAAATGTGTGAAGTGTGAACCAAAATTTGTTATTAAGGTAGTGAATTTATTCGTGCTTTGGGTGATTATAAAATAAAGGGAAAATAAATAACATGCACCCTATATTTATCCGGAAAAGTTAGTTTCAAACTTAACCTTTACGGATATCCTAGTACCTCAATATACTTGTTCAAACTTCAAAGCGAACTTAATACCACCTTGTGAAGTATAATACCACGTTCATGGTGTGAGGTGCTTCACACATGCATGTCACTGATCACACCCAACTATGTCTTATAAAAAGGACTAAGCGGTCGTTGCAAATATAATCCGGTTTACAAGTCCGGAGTCTAATCCCACGGAGAACTAAGGCTTAGCTACAGTTGTTCAATATTGCTAAGAAGACAAGCTCGGACAATTCGTATGTTATAAGTATTAAGATTCTTGTGTTTAACTAATTAACTAACAAATTAAAAGAGTAAATTAACAACTAAAAATACTAAGGATTAGAGACAAGATTAAGGAGGTCTAGAGTAATGATTTTTCCTATTGTCGGAATCTTTCCCGCTACGTTTTCTATAAATTCGCCTAAGTATTCTCTACCGATCATGAGCGCTCTAACTGTCGTAACTCTCTCCCGAGTAATTACCACAATTTACTAGATATATTCTCCCGAATTACGCTAGCTGGCATTAAGTGCGACTGACTCGGATCGCACCCAAGGTTTCGTTATCCCTAATCCCACCTTTAAACTCCTCGCATTGATCCCTGATATACGTTAGGAGTGATGGTGTTCAACAACTACCTAAATATGCATTCTCTCCCGAGTAATACACACTAAATAGGCACAGTCGATTGAGAGCTCTTCAACCAACCACAATATAAACGTAGTTGAACAATTAGAGAAAAATACTACGGCAAAACTATATTAACGTAACAGGAAAATCATACCCCAATAGGTTCCATCAAAACACTAGATAACAAATTAGCTATTCATAATAGTATGCATAACAACAATACTAGAATTCATAACCAATAATAGAAATAGGAGAAGGAAGTGAAAAACTCGTAGAATAATTCTCCGCCTTGCTCCTAGTGTGTTATTCCTCCTTAGGTCGAATCCCCGGTCTCCTTAGCCTCCTTAGGTCTAAATTATGCCAAAAGTCCTGAAAATACCGTTTTCCATGTATATATACCATGTCAGGTTGGGCCCAAACAATTATACCTTCTCCTACGCGAAAAAGGACACTTTTCCCGGATAGAACGTGCGCGGCCGCGGTTGGACTGCGTTTGGACCTCGCATATCCACTTTGATTCTACCTGACGAGTGCGGCCTGAGCGCGGACGTGCACTTGACGCGCACTTTTTACCCTGTTCTATTAGGAATTTGGAAAATCATAAAACATGAAAGAGTTAGCTTTCTAACAATATATTGTGGAGACCAAATGGAGTTCTGAGCGAAAAGCTATGTGCATTTTACTAGATAGTGCGCAATATGCCTACTCGATTGTTCGTTCGTTCTTAATTATTATTCGTTGATCCCCGAACACGATCTTAGCTTAATTCCTTGGGCTTTTACTCAGACTTCAAAGCTTCAAATCACTTGAGTTCATTCCATAACATTTATATAGCTCGGAATCACTCCTTCAAAGCATAAAACATACCATTAGTGCAAAACATTAGCGATTAAAGGTCAAACTCAATTAAAGCGCAGTAAATTAGAGTGTAATAAGCGACTAAAATATGTAATTATAGACTATCATCAGTCACATCAGCACCACGTCAATGCCAATGTCAGAAATGCGGTAAATTAAATTTTTTCTTATTTTTTCTTTTTCATTCACATATTTTTTTGATTCCATGCTTACTACTAAAACCTTCATTATCAATGGGTTCATGGGCTTTGATTTCATTTTGAATAAATTAATTTGTTGAGTCCAAAGAGATGAAAGAAACAAGGAAAAAATAAAATAAAATTTTACTACACAAAATTTGTGACGCCATAGGTTGGTGATAAGGGGGTTGAGATCTAGTTGGATTTTGTTTGTTGAAGGTCACCGGAAAATGGAAGTTGCCTGAGAAAATTTTCTGGCCAATAGTCATTCACACACTAATAAATTTTGGACCATTTCTTGCTATTACACTGTTAAATTGAATCTGAAAGTTGAAGAACTATTTTAAGTAATAGACTAAACTGATAATGTGACTAATCCATCATCAGAGAATATGAATTAGCGATTAGAAATGCAATTTTACGTACAACACAGATTAAAAGATTGAGTGCTTCATAACAAAGATGAAGAAGAATGGGAAACGAGTAAGAAAATCCACTCTTAAAAAGGCCTGGAGTGAAAATTGAAAAGAATGAAAAGGTGTTGAGATGGAGAGGGGGAGGGTGTGTGTGTGTGGGGGATGGGAAGGGTTGAAGATGAAGAGAAAAGGAGGGTGGGGAAAAGGAAGTGTTAGTTTGAGTGCCCGTATGGATTACTAAAGAACTTGATTTTTAACCGTGTTCCTTAAGAGTAAAGTAAACAAGAAATAAAATGAACACATCGATTTTTATGTGAAAAATCACCTGGCTCAAAAGGTGCAAAAACCACGACCTACCGCGTATGATTTGCAACTCCAACTCCACTAAAGCAATGAGCCAAAATGTATCAATTACAAGACTGTAATTAAATACTCTTCAATACTTCTACTACTCTTATTTGGTTCACAAGTTACTCTAACTTGTAAAGCAAAATACTCATTCTAACTCACTAATTGTTTATGAACTTGACTACAATTTAATTTCCTGAAACACATTCACTAGACTGACTCAGGAAGAATACAAGGCAAGTACTCAACACAAGTAAACGACTTATGACTCTTTCTTTGATGTGTAAAAGGATAGTTCGAAAGTCCAAAATCGATCCTATTTAAAACACAACTTGAGATCCTCTAGGAATCCTATTCATAGTCAACTTTCTCTTTGATAGGACTACTACTGTTCCAAGGATTCCAAAAGCTTTGGGTCTTTTGTCTCTGACTGAATTATCCATATCTTCTTGAGAAACGACTCTTATCCCTTATAGCAACCATCTTCTACCAAACTCGGACCTAGGTAACTTTGAGATAAAATTACTATCTTGTACAAATGTACAAGTATCAATCATGAGGATCTGATTCTTTCTCTTAAGGAGTTGGTTCTTCAGAAGAGTTAAGTTGCTACGTTGAGGACCTGGTTCTTTAACATTTAGTCATACTTTGTTAATCATCAAAACTTCAATACTCAACAAATTTTTCCTTTTTTGATGATGACAAACTTTGTACATAATAAAACTAGGTAATCACATCAAAGAACCAGATAATCACAACAAATACTATAGACATGTATATTTACAACTCACAACTTTTTTCCAACCTTATCTTCCCCCTTTTGGAAACACACCAAAAAATGTTAGACATTAAGCACAGATAATGTAAGATTCAAGGCCAAACAGGCTACAACACAAGCTTAAGAAAAGGCAAATAGACTAGGTTGATGATCCAATATAGTACAAAGTAGTAAAACAGAGCAATAGAAGCCATTAAGCAGTGCCAAAAGAAGCTCAGGGACTTGTCTTCATCATTAGAACAAAATAAACTAAGCATATTGCAAACTACTGAGACTAAGAAAAATAAAAGGAACAAAAGATAAGGCATCATTGGAATTACTAAGGACACTAGGAAGGAACAGGTTCATGGGTGAGAAGTAGAGGGGGTCAAGGCTTTCACAAGGGTGGCAGTCTGTTGAGCATGAGCCTTCCTATCTCTTCTGAGCTCTTCCTTGAGTTGCTTTGTTTCTTTTCTCAGGTCATTATTGTCTTCACGAAGCTTGACATTCTCTTCAACAGCCAACTCCAACCTCTTATTCTTTGATTAGAAGACGATTGAAAATGATGCCGATGGAATTAGAAGTCTGAGTATAGCAATAATTTTAGAATATAAAGTCCTAGTAACTTAAGACAGTATGACACATACCTAAGTCAAAGAACCAACTCCTTATTTGTTTCTGCAATAAAGCTTCAACACTTCATATTAGTATCATGCAACACAATTATCAGCCAGATTTCCCAAGCAAGTGTGTGAGCTTAATACAAGCACAAAGCTAAATCAAACACATTGTACTTAATTATCTACATCGTATTATGCCTTTTCTAGCCAATCACTAGGATTCAACTTAGTGGAAAGAGTTGATTAGACCTAGTTCTAGTCTATTCCTTTCGAAGTGATCCCTACTTAGAGCTTTAGTAAAAATATTAGCAATTTGATCTTCAATTTTACAAAAGTTAATTGAGATATTCCCCTTTTCAACATTGTCTCTGAGAAAGTGATGTCTAATGTCAATGTGCTTGGTTATCTTGTGCTGACATGGATTTTTAGAAATATTTATGGCACTAGTGTTATCACAGAAAATAAAAACACAATCAACAAATATACCATAGTCCCTTAGTTATTGTCTTATCCATAGCAACTGAGCACAGCAGGATGTTGTTGCCACATATTCAGCCTTATCTGTAGATAAGGACACTGAGTTTTGCTTCTTGGTTCCCCAAGACACCATACAAGAACCTATAAAATGAACTAATCCTGAAGTGCTTTTCCTGTCAACATGAAAACCTGCATAATCAACATCAGCATAACCAACTAGATCAAAGCTATACCCTCTGGGATACCATAGACAGAGGTCAGGGATCCTCTTGATATATCTTAGTATCCTTTTGACAGCCTTCACGTGAGATTCCTTGGTGTCACGACCCAAACCGATGGGTCATGACGGGCACCCGGTACCTTACTCGACCGAGTACCAACGTAACGTATTTTTCGTATCATACTATCATAGGTAGATGAAACGGAGAGGCTGCTGTGAGATAATTAGAGTGAAACATGAGGGAACACTCGATATAGGACGACCCAACATGTAATACAAACTTATACATATGACATGGGATTATAAGGCCGGCATGATCCTTTATATACTCAAAATATAGGCCGACAAGGCCATACAAGTATCTGTATACATGACATCTGCCTACAAGCTTCTAAGAGTACACAAATATCATAAAGGTCAGGACAGAGCCCCGTCATACCAATAAATACATGTCCTAATCATACTGACCAAATAAGCAACTCCGGAGCAAATGGAGTACACCAACACCTTCTGCTGAGATAATAGCCTACTTGGAAGACTCTCAACCTGTCTATCGGGACCTGCGGGCATGAAACACAGCGTCCCTAGGTAAAAGGGACGTTAGTACAAATAATGTACCGAGTATGTAAGGAATGAAAATCAGCAAATATTAAACATGAGAGAAACATAGAATAAAAGACTCGACATGTAAATCTAAATAGCTCCGTGAATCTTTTAATAATTANAGACCATTATGCCTTTGATTAATATCATGAAATAAACTTTATCAACTTATGTATTTTCTAAGACTCATGAACAGACAATAGAATAATAAGATATATAGGGAATCAAGAACATAGGAATCTCTAGTATTTCTATGAATAAAGTCATTTATGGAAGTTGTGCATTTTCTCATTTCGTTTGTATCGTATGGATCATGTCAAAAAGAAAGAAGAGATAACCTTAACATACCTGAGCCGATTCTCTTGACAATCCCTCTAACACACGTCTATTGTGAAAAACACGTAACAGTGGATCGAAGTAGGGAAAAAACCGTATGATATTATTGAGAAAGATTGTACTGTGCTCTCTTAGAATCGCATTTTACGCTACTGTAGCATTATAAGGGTTCATAAGAATTCCTTTTGAGAAAAAGAATTCCATTTGTTAGCTTGTTGAATCTCTTAATTCATCTCCCTTTAATGAATTAGGGAGATTGATTTTTATTTTATTGAGTGGGCCCCACTTTAGGGGATGACTAAGACACCAATCCTCTAATTATGCCACCAAGTTACATGATTTAAGAGTCATTAATTTGGGCTTTAACTAGCTTCCACGTTGAGGCCCATCAATTCTTATCCAAATATGCTTAATTACATAGTTAATCTCCCAGTAAAAATCCATAATTACCCAATTATCCACATAATCAAGAATTATCTCAAACTACTTAAAATACTACTAACTTTTAACATACTTTATATACTTCACTATCATGGTCATGTGATATCATGTATGGCAGTAGTCCATAAATACCGGGTATTATAGCTTGGACCGTATTCTATTCCAAATTATCAAACTTCGACGAAACTCATTTTCTTTGATTCTCTTACCCTCTCAACTTCACGAATTTACTTATCACTTGTTTGAAATAATGTAATACTTCTAATCTCAAAATATTCTTATTCTCGAGCTTATGTCGATTAACTTACGATGAAACTTTAACGTACGAAGATGCGGGATGTAACATCTCATTTTTGAGTTTTCATCAATTTACTTATGGCATACTTTCATGTACAAAAACATGGGGTGTAACATCATCCCCCCCTTTGGAGCATTCGTCTTCGAATGTTGAGTAATGCACTTATCATCATCATAACCTATAGTTCCTGCAAATACTTTATTACCCTTCTTTCCATCTAGGAAACTTTTCTGTGAATAAATCCAAAGGCCAGGCCATTCCCCCCTTAGGCTTCTTTCTCACACCACAACTTGTGGTCATAATCTTTCCATTCTTGTAATTGTTGCTACCTTCTATCATGCAGCCTATACGACTTTTTTCTTGTATGTGCGCCTATGCAACTCTTCCCCTCCAGCTTTTGGCCAATCTATAGGCCTCATTTTGTGAACATATGCACAACTATGACAAGATGTCCCTCTGGGCATCTATAGGTATACTGAAGTTCTTCACTCGGTACTTTGTTAAACTTACAAATATTGCTATATCTTACTTCATAGACCCAGTTATCCATTCATATGACTTTATTGTATCTAGGTAGATCATATTATACCATAACCCTTACTTAGATTTATCGTTTCTGAGGTTTGCTACCAAACTCCTGTTACTCTTGTGCTTATCCTATATGTAATCTAAGTCCTTTAATGTTTATTCATTGCTGCTCATCTTATGGCCAAATCTCATCTCATACTTTGTAACTTTTATCCATCCATTGTTGATTCTCCTTAATATTGATCTACAATCTACCAGTGATAACTTGAAACCTCTTACGTAATCACTAGGACTCACGTTGCATCGAGGAACATTTGAAGTGATCTTCCTGATCCACCTGGGGGAGATATGATACCTCCATAATTGTATTTCATAGCATCCCAATGTGATTCACCTTACATGAGTATTTTAATCCTGTACAATTCATGAAATCCCCCCTCGCTCTCTTTTTTTCTTCTTCAAATCATAACTCAATCGAAGGCCTAAACTTTATCCTTTATCTTTCACAATTACACCCTCATTCTACTACCAATGCAGTATTCCATCTCTTCTAAATGCTATTGTATGCGGCAAAATTAGAGGACTTGATTTCTCGCTGTCAAGTCATTTTGGAAGAACACCTCGAGACCTTGAGGACGGGAGGCCACAACCGAGTTCCCGACCTCAGGGCTCGTCGAGGCCCGACTCAGAGAAAACGGAAATCGAAGCCAGGACAGAAGGGAAGCTCCTAAGGCACACGGCTAAGTCTGACAGGGCCAACCTATCCAGAGCCTATGTTGAGGCATCACGTCAAGCCATCCCATCTCTGTACTTTGTAATTAATGCCCAGGTGCTTGTAGCCGAGTTCCCCTCCTATATAAATGGGACTCACGCTACCTTGTAACGGACTGATGTTGCTCCATTTCTCCACTAGTGCAATAATATCTCTCTCTCTTTTCTTTCTAACTTATTCGTTCCCACTGGCCCGAGGTTACCTTAATATCCATCGTTTTCTTACTTGTTCTTCATCACATAAGCTCAGTATCGGCTGTAAAGAGCCTTGTTTAATTATATCTTCAACTGTTATCCCATTCCCAACTATCCCCGATAGCTCGAATTCGACCCTGACTTTGACCCCGAGGTCCCCCATCGACCAGACCTACATCCGGGTAGCAGGCCCTCCGGTTCGATTATTATCTCATTTTAGCTTGCATTTTATTGTTAAACTCCATATTATTAGCATCAACTACTCTAACAACTAGCTCGGGAATAGATCACGTATTTTTAGAATCCCATTTACAAATTTAATTGTTGTTACCATTTTCACTGTAAACAATTTGGTGCCCACCGTGGGGCTAATAATAATAGTGATAATTTCCTTGCTGTTTTATTGCACAAACGCACATTATCCTTCAAACTTTTTCTTGTCCAAGATCCTTTGATTTCAGGTCAAAATGTCTGGCTCGGTAAACGTACTCGAGAATGACAACCTCGAAAACCACGGGGAAAATGGCATGGTTGTCCGGGTCGCCGGAGCACCACTACAAAATCTCGATAACGCGACCAGACCGATTCTAGTGGACACAGACTCACAGGACACGCAATAGGTCGATGAGGCCTCGCACACCGATGGGAGCATTCAACATATCGACCAACAGGAATCCCAACAAACCCCGGCTCGGGAAACACAGGAAATTAGTCTTCATGACATTTTTGAAATATTGCAGGCACATCAATTGGCTATCGCTCAATTGCAGAGCCATTCGGGGATCCCCAGCATAGTAGCACCGGAAACGGCTCCCTGCACCGAACAAGTACCCAAAAGATCAAGCGACAACGGACCGATAATAGACTCCGCCACAACGAAGCCGCTGGAGGATCACTCCAAGTGAATCGAGTCAGGTTCATGGAGGTTCGTGCAACAGTTATCTCCCAGGGAAGCGGTCCCAGAACCCGCTTCACGAAAATTCAGAACGTCGGAACTCCCTAGGTACGAAGAACCTCACGTTCCGAGAAGTGCACCACTACTTACAGATGTGCGGAAAAGGGCAGCGACCTTCAATATGATGCGTTCGAGCCCATCTCGTTGAAGAAGTTCGGGGAAACACTCTCGAAAGAAACCATGATGTGGCACCGTAGCCTAGCACCTGACCTCACAAACTCGCTTACCGCGCCAGCAGGTTCCTCCGTAGAAGCATATGCCAATGCCATCAAAGCAGTAATGGAAGAGCCCGACACATCGAAAGCCAAACAAAGAGAGAATGAAACATCATAGGAAGTCGCGCCTCGTCCCCTGATAGGACGAATGAGATCGCTCCCAGTTTCGGATGACTGGGAAACCCAGGCCCTTGCCCAAAGTTTAAACGAGTCATGCCCAATGACTCCGGGTCATTTCAAATGAAGCTTAATTATATACCCAGCCAAGACATGAACGGATGCTCGTACCCGGCACCTGCCATGAATCAGGGCCACGGACAACTGTCTTGGAGCCTCTACGGGCTCGGTATACCAAAGCAGGCTCCCAGCAAAGAAACTAATGCCAAACAGATGGAGGTACCATCCATGTGCCACAAATGGGAGGAATGCTACAAGATGCAACCTACCTCGCAACGGTAGGGAAATAGTTCGAGGGCAACATCCTCGAGGAACCTTCAGCGGAATCGGATAAAGAGGCACAACCGGAAGAGGAACCCCGCTCAGCGGAGTACGATTTCAACATTGCTATACAAAATATCATGATCACCATAAGCGAAACCAGGGATGCCGAACGATTTAGGCCTATTTGACTAAGACCCTTTCAAAGGAGCCACAACCTGGTGTGGGGACTGCAGGGCGCGCGGCCATGGGGTCAAAAATGGCCACCAGCTTAGAGGGACGATAGCCGTGCTACTCAAAAAAAATCACCACCGATTACCATCGAACAGTCAGGCTCGAGTCCAGGCCCAAGGGAGAGGGCAACCGAGGAGGATGAAACGAACAAACCACGATGTATTACCACGACAGCGAAGGAGCGATGACACCATACGGGGACTCATAAAATGGGAAGTAAAAATGTTCGCCGTCAGGAAAGAATGGATCCAGGGAAATATTTTGAAGGACACCCTTACACCAAGGGAAAAAGGCACTGATACTCCGCCCCAGCATCACACTGACGCATTGGTAACCCTCTTCCTCATTTGATCTATTTTGAATAAAACATGTGTTCATGAATTCAGGTGGTTCGTCCACATGCAACAACGATGTCGGACCAAAGTTAGTGGGGCGGTCCGAACTAACAGACCAAATCACCCCCGCATCCCGAATCCCCGGCGAATTCCAAATGACAAGTCACCACAAAGACCATTCTCTTGATATAGCCCATCTGATCTCGGGCCGGGACGTCGAGCTCTGTACCATTAGAGGAGGCGCAAAGCACGGGCCTCTTATTCAGACGATTGCCGACACACCACCCAGAGACAACGTCGACCCCATTTTGCCAAAAGCATGAAACCCCTCGCAAAGGTTAGAACTAAAATAAGTCGACAGAAAGCAATACGTGATAAGAGAAAATTCTTCTCCATCTAGCTCGTTGCCGGCATCAATGCCCCCACCCTCGGAGGGATCAAAGGGTAAGCAAACCACATCTTCGACCAAACCTGACAAGACACAGCGAGGGCTGTATTAAGACTCACGCCTCGAAAGAGTAGGAACATACCTCAAAACGTTGCCTATGCATCCCACGGTGAGGAAGAACTGCTTTAATCCATTGTTATTTTTTCACAAACCTGTATACAGACAATTGGACAGGATATTCAAAGGTTCTAACTCTACTCGGAGATCCCTAGGCTCTAAAAAAGAGCCCATCGTGCTTTTTCCCCTCAATCGAACTTCCGCCCCGAAGAGGGCCTCGTCAGCAAGATTATTAGCAGAGCAACGTACCCCCAGAGGAGAATCCAATAAGATCGTTGGCCTTCTCCTACAGTCCAACAACGAGGGGTAATCTTCTTCTAAGGGCACCGTCCCCTCGGGAGGACCGGGAAACGGTAGACTAAGTCTCGATAGGGAATTATGTACCGGATCGAATGGTCCGAGAAGCCGAGCCCGCACGAGCCGAGCTCACGATAATGAAACAATGTTTGTCTACACCAAGAAATAATTGGATATCTTTTCAACATCTTATTCTCCAAACAAGGAAATCTCAAGTATACCCCCGACAGGGGGCCCTCCACCAAATGCATCCCGAAGTACTCGGAGACTTAACGTCAACAATTTGGCACTCGCACGACCCAAGGGTCGAAACTCCGGGCACATAAAGCCCCTACAAGGCAACTCCGAGCTCACGAAAAGTGGTCTTCATGCTTAAATAAATTCGATGACTCAGAGTCTGTCATTAATTGCCATGCGCTGGAAAACCAGAAACTGTAAGACCCCTAGCGGGCAGACTCGGCGTAACCAGATCTATTCTACATTATAACAAAAACTGTAAGACCTCAATATGCATGACAAACTGTAAGACCTCAAAAGGCATGACAAACTATAAGACCTCAACAGGCATGAAAACCCGAAGTTCAGGCTATACGCTGCATTTTTAAGAGTCCCGAAAAGGCATACCGTCGGTGTAGACGCCTAAAATATCACTCGGGATCAAAATGGCTCCGGCCAAACACATATGACTACGGTCAAAATGGCTGATACAACCAAACTAACGCGACTCGGGGACGCCCGACCATCGCTAAACAAAATCGCAGGCCACTACTTTGAATATACTTCGGAAAGAACCGGTTAAAACAGGCTTCCCTCAATAGGCAAAAACGAGCTTCGACCATGTCGGCTCCAAATCACAAAGGCTTCGACCTACTCAACCTACGAGTTATGAACCTTCCGAGGTGCTTGAAACATCGCCGATAACGACTTGAAATCGAGGTTCTTCTAGAACCGATGACGGGTCAGGAAAAACTGCAAAAGAACTTAACGAGTGGAAAACAAAGCCTACAAAAAAGCCCATGCGCAAAAATAGCATAAGAGCCATTGTCGCCAGCTAAGCAAGCCTCCGGGCCATATATTAAAAGGTCTCTACGACCAAACAACATAAGAGCCATTGTCACCAGCTAAAAAATTGACAACTTGAGGATTAAAGTGAGCTTGAATCGTAACCCAATTTGGAGATCGGATCCAAAATAGTTAACTATGCAAGCCTCCGGGCCACATATTAAAAGTTCTCTACGACCAAACAGCGTAAGAGCCATTGTTGCCAACTTAAAATTTGACAACTTGATGATTAAAATGAGCTCAAATCGTAACCCGATTCGGAGACCGAATCCAAAATAATTAACTATGCAAGCCTCCGGGCCACATATTGAAAGGTATCAATGACCAAAACCGTGTAAGAGGCACTATCGCCGTCCGCCCTTGCAGGCAGGAAAAGAACCTGATGGTCAATTGAATCTCGAGTCGCAACGCGACTTGGAGACTGGACCCGAAATGGTTAAACTACAATATGCCTAAGGACATGGCATAACTGCCATTATCGCTAGCCAAGTGAGCCTCCGGGCCACCCACTTGTAAGGTCACTTCGACCCAAAGCACAAAAGGCCATCGCCATCTACCCATACAGATAGGATAAAACTTGAGGGTCAATTGAACCTCGAGTCGCAACGCGACTCGGAGACTGGATCCAAAATGGTTAAACTATAATATGCCTAAAGGCACGGCATAAATGCCACTATTTCCAGCCGAGTGAGACTTCGGGCCACCCACCTATAAGGTCACTTCGACTCGAAGCACAAAAGGCTATCACCGTCCGCCCATGCAGGTAGAATAAAACTTGAGGGTCAATTTGAACCTCGAATCGCTACACGACTCGGAGACTGAACCCAAAATAGCCGAAACGGCAAATGCCCAAGGGTAAGAAATAGGAACAATTACTACCTGCCCGCACGAGCATAGATGATTTAAGGGCGGGAAAGCTCGAGCCAAAGCCTGACTCGGAGACTGAGCCTAAATAGTAGGGCAAAGCACGGAGGCCCCAACACCCGCTCACATCAAGGATCACACTTAAGAGCCCCCAGGCATGTCCGATCAGTTCCAGACCTATGAGGATCCCGCCAAACACTAAAACCAGCCCGCCTGGTCTAAAGCAATAACAGAAAAGAGATGTAGAAGAAATAAAGCTTCAAGTTTCCTCTTATCTTACTTACGCAAAGAAAAAAAAGAAGAAGGGCGCACTCTCCATCTACAAGCATGTTCTATATCTATCAAATACAAAGCGACAAAACGGCAAAATCTATGCTCTGCTCTAAAGGGCTATAACTTGCCGGGTTCGCTCTTCGCCTTGTCAGCAAGAAGTGACCGCGCGTCACGCTCGTCCGCCCTTGCTTGGGCAAATTCCTCTGAGAGAACAAAGCCCCTCGCACCGATCTCCTCGAGTACTTTTCTTCGGAATCTACAACGAACATATTCCTCGATCCTCTTCTCTCGGTCGAGGGCTCGCTTCAGCTCGGCTTGAGCGTCTGTACCATCTATTATACGAATCACCATCTCCTGATCAGCCTTGGTTCAGCTTAGTACCGCTTCAGCCCGGGTATCAATTATCTCAGCCCTGATCTTCGAGAGGTTAGATTTGAGTTTCCCGATCATATCCGCTTGAATTTTGGCATTATCACGAGCCAAGAGGAGTTGGACTTCGAAGGCGGGGACCTTGGTCGAGGCGCCTGTCTCCTCTAAAGTTTGAGCTTGCACCTGAGCCCTTAGCTCACCATAGGCAGTTCTGACGCAGTCGATGTCACCCTTGAGGTAATCCAAAACCTCCATCTTTTTATGAAGCTAATATAACAAAAAGAGGGTTAACCTTGAGGGACAAAGAGAGCAAAGCACGAGCTGTAATAGTTACCTGCTCCATCAAATAGCTCTCGTAGTTTGAGCTTCGGTATGCCTCATATCGCCAATGCAGCAACTCGACCTCCTTCTCCTCGTTAAGGAGCCTAAGGGACTCTCCCTCGCCCAGAATTTTTT